GTCTACAGTGTATTGTGTGTGTGCAAAACGTATTTTCTCCTGGAAACCCCCCACCCCCATCATCCAGGTGAGCCAGTATTTTGCATTTTGCTTCTTTGTGCCATTGTAATATCTTTTTATTATTATTATTATTATTATTATGAATGACCACAGTGTTTCTATTTCCATAAGCTATTTTGAATAGGCTTGAAACGACATTCATCCCATCATGTATTTCCTGTCTGAATGACTTAGAGTGGGCCTGGCTTTTCCATAAACCTATTCTTGTGATACAACATCCCACCTGCACTTCCTTGTAAAAAATATAAATAAAAGAGAGAAGTGAAAGCTTTGGTTAATGTTGAATGTTGAAGGATTTCCATTAATGTTGAGAAATAATAATGAGCTTGCTTTTTGCTGCTATAATCTCCCGTAAAAAAAAAAAAAAAACTGGTAACTCATGTTCATCAAGAAGAAACAAACCATTTTTTATACATCACATTATTTTTCTACTGCACTGGCACTTTAACATAAGATGTGATCATCTTTATGTATAAAAGTATAATAAACCACAATTATGGGCTCTTTTACTATTGTAGGAATTGTGTGGTAATTCATTTTATTTCCTGTTACAATATAGTAAGGGATGGCAATGTGCCATCCCACAAGCTGAGGTGGACCACAGTGTCTCAAAGGCGCTACTTTCCGTGTGAATTTTTCACTTTTCTTTTTTTAACAATATCATGAAAGTCAACATGTAAAACTAAAATTGAGCTGTCAGCCACTGTGGTTAATGGTAAAATGGGAGACTGGTTTAAAAAAATAGCGTGTTCGCCCACCTGACTGCCAAGTTTACATCAGTACTGATTCCTGCTGGGGTTCAATAAATACCGGTGACATTTAGCATAAGACTTAATCCATTTGTATCCTTTTCGTGTGCAGAGAAATCCCAAATAGATTTGTGTGTGTGTACTTGTTTTTGCTGCAGAGTGAGGACCGTCATGTTTATAACCAACTAAGTGAGGACAATTTTGGGAGGTGAGGACATTTTCCCGGTCCTCACTTTTTTTTTTGCAGTTCTGCTACGCTCTACTAGTTAGGTTTAGAAGGTTAAGGTTAGGGTTAGGGGAAATGTCTGGGTTAGGAATAAATGCAATTACAAAAATGAATGGAATTCAATACAAAGTCTTCAGTTTGATGCAAGTACAAGGATGTGTGTGTGAGTGTGCATGTCTTTGCTACATCATGGGGACCATTTTCCAGTCAAACAGTCTTGTGGGTATCCAATTCTCCTCATGGTGACCAACACCTGGCCACCATGAGGTTAGGTTTTGGACCAAAGTGTAAAGTGAGGTTATTTAGGGTCAGATATGTACTGGGGTGGTTAGGTTTAAGGTAAGGGGTTAGAGTTAGGCTATAAAAATGACTGAAAGATTAATGGAAGTCAATACAAAGTCCCCACGAGGATAGAAAAAACAACTTGTGTGTGTTTAACTTGGTKTTCAGAACCAAATCTTATTTAGTTAAATGTTATTATTAGCATTTTTAAACTTTACCTGAGATTAATGATTTAACTTGCACCAAGACAAGCTAGTTGCAAAACTTTTATGTGTTCTTCTATAAAACTTTTCTTAGCTGGCAATTTTCTTTTACTGTTTGTCTAATGAGATCAGGAGATCAAGTGCAATCAAATGGTCTCCACATAAATAGTAGTTTTATTGCCTTAGAGCTTTCTGAGTAGATTCAATTTTTTTCCCAGTTACTTAGGAAAATTTCTCTGCGTAACACACAACAGCACAAAACGACACCTTAAGGGACACGTTACATSTTTACTAGATTTGTGTAACTAACTTGTGACACTTGATGTTTCACATCCTCCTAAAGTGTCTCTTTGTGCAAGTTTGAACTTGAAAATGGAGCCAGTGTGACCTGATGATCTTGAATACAAAGATGTCAAATTTTCACAGAGTCATGTGTAAGAACTTGCTCTGAGCTATCCTGAGTTTTCAGTCCATCAGCATGTTTTATAATTATTATTATTTTTATTT